TAGATGATAGATGATAGATAGATAGATAGATAGATAGATGATAGGTAGAACAACAGACCAACACACAGAACAATTAGCTCTCAAAAACAAAGTGGCCTGCAGTTCCAGCATCTCGGGACTCTAGGAAGATCAGAAGTTCAAAGCCAACCTCAGCTACAAGAAAGTTCTGTGCCAGCCTAGGCTGCATGAGTCTCTGTTTTAAAGGAGAAGGAATAAAGAGGAGGAGGAGGGGGAGGAGGAAGAGGGGGAGGGGAGGAAGAAGAGGAGGAAATGAGCTAGGATGGTGCTGGGCCCAGCAAGATGGCTCAGTGGGTGAAAGGGCTCTCACACAAGCCTGATGATCTGAATTTGATCCCTGGAACCCATGGTAAAGGGAACAATGACTTCTTATGCACCCTGTGGCACATGTATGTTTCCTCTTATGTACACCATGGCACATATATGCCTGCACACACACATACACACACATGGAATACTGCCCGTGCACTGTGATGATACACAGGTGACTGATCTAGTCACACTGGGCTGCAAAGGAAAACTCATTTTTGAAGGTCAAGGTTTCTTTAAAAATATTTTATTATTTTTATTTTATGTGTATGAGTGTATTGCCTGCATGTATGTGAGTGCACCCATGTCATGCAGTGCCACGGAGGTCAGAAGAGGGCTTCGGATTCCCCTGGAACTGAAGTTAAGGATGGTTCATAGCTGCCATGTGGGTGCTGGAAATCGAACCTGGGTCCTCTGCAAGAGCAGTCAGTTCTCTTAACCACTGAGCCATCTCTCCAGCCCCATGAAGTTCGAAGTTTTAAAGAAATAGCATTTGCTAGCCAAAACCTGCACTCACTTAGCAGGAAATTATGGCATCCCAAACACTGATTATGAGGAAATCATCACATTGTATGGGCTGTCTTAGTTTGCCTTTAATTGCTGTGACAAAACACTCTGACCAATACCAACTTGGGGAGGAAAGGGTTTATTCAGCTTACATCTCCCAGGTCGCAGTTTATCAGGGAGCCCAAGGTAGGAACTCAGGGCAGGAACCTGGAGGCAAGAACTGGAACATAGGCCATGGAGGATCGCTGCTTACTGGCTTGCTCCCCTGGCCCCTGCCCAGTCTGCTTTCTTATGCAACACAGGCCCACCTGCCCAGGGGTGGCACCACCCACAGTGGGCTGGGCCCTCCCACATCACTCATCAAGAAGATGCCCCTCAGACATGGCCACAGGCCAGTCCAGGGGAAGCAATTCCCCAGTTGAGGCTCCTCTACCCTGGTGTGTCAAGTTGACACTGAAGCTGTCTAGCACACTGTCCATCTGGTGTGACTGACAATGGAATGGATAGACTAGATGCATTACAAACACAGCCAAGCCTCTGTATGGGCATGCTGAACACCAGTGTTGGATGCCCTCACTCAGCACCAATGTAATGCCAGGTATGAACAGTCACTGGGGGTGAGGCCAGCTTATCCCTGCTGTTTACCTCACAGTCCTGATGTCCAGAAGTTGAAGCTAGTCATGTTTTAACATAACTGGCCTACGCAGGTATTTTTGACATTATTTGCAGTGTTTTCCTGTAATACTGGAATATATAACATACCATCTTCAATTTGTTTTTCATGTCCTTGTTTTAAAATTTGCATAAAGGAGCCAGGCATGGTGGCGCACACCTGTAGTCCCAGCATTTGGGAGGAAGAGTCAGGCGGATCTCTGTGAGTTCAAGGCCAGCCTGGTCTACATAGTGAGTTCCAGGACAGGTGGTGCTATAGGGAGACCTTGTCTCAAAAAGACCAAAAAAAAGGGGCTGGAGAGATAGTGCAGCGGTTAAGAACACTGACTTTTCTTGCAGGAGACCCAGGTTCAAATCCCAGCACCCACACAGCAGCTAACAACTGTCTGTAACTCCAGTCCCAGGGGATCTGATGGCTTCTTCTGTCCTCTGTGGGCATTGCATGACACGGGTGCACTTACTTACATGTAGGCAATACACTCATAAAATAAAAATAATAAAATATTAAAAAAAAGAAAAAGACCAAAAAAATTTTGCTTGCATAAAGGACATCATACTGTGAGTGGCATCTGCCATTTCTGAAGTATGTCCAGTGATGTGGATTTGACACATGCCTCTTAAATGCCACTACAAGATGTCACTCTATTTGAGCTGTCTATTCTTCTGTCTGAGCATGCTGGGAGTTTCCCGCTCTTAAGAGGATCCATGCTGGCCACATAAGGCCCCCATGAATGGCCGGGCAACCACTGTTGGCCAGAGGCTGGAGGAAGAGGAGTCAGTGCTCGTTAATACTCCCTCCTGTTCTCATATACCTCAAAAAAAAACTGTAGAAAAAGGAATGCAGAAAGAGCAGAGAAATAAAACATGCCATCCTGCTGACCCAGGCACTGATCAGTCACGTGGTGTGAGTCACTGCAAGTCCAGGACTGTGCAGATTTAGACAGACACACTTTCTATTTTAGCCATACTGAACAACACCTTGACCTCGGTCCAGAGGCTCCAGGCCCTAGGCCTGCATTCCCTCCCTGGTCCCTGCTGCTGTCGCTTCCCTGACCTTTGAGAAGTGGTGGGAATTGGGGCACCTCAGTCTGCACCAGCCAGCCATATGCCAATTGAGACCACTGGCAGCTTTGCTGACTTCTTTCCTGGGTCTCAGGGTCACGTGATGAGTGGCGGCAGGTCCTCCAAAGAGGCCACGCCTCTTCCCTACCTGTGCGTGGAGCCCGTCCTTACACGTCACTCCACGGCCTGTTTCTTGCCCAGTGGTTTTTCAGTTTGTTTGTTTGTTTGTTTGGTCTTTTTGAAGCAGGGTCTCCCTGTAGCCCCAGCTGTCCTGGAACTCACTGTGTAGACCAGGCTGGTCTTGAACTCACAGGGATCCGCCTCCCTCTGCCTCCGAGTGCTGGGACTACAGGCGTGCGCCACCACACCGGCCACCCAGTGGTTTTTATTCCTGCATTTCCTCTTGTGTCCGCTGCATGTGGTGAGCTCGCCCTCCTGTTCCCCCTTACTTTCAGGATGCTCTTCAGGAGATGTACAATCAGAAGGGCGTGTTCCCAGGGGAGCAGATCAAGCCTGCCCGAAGGCCGTGGACCCTCCTGAACTTCCTGTGCTGGGCCACCATCCTCCTCTCTCCCCTCTTCAGCTTTGTCCTGGGTGTCTTTGCCAGTGGATCCCCACTTCTCATCCTGACGTTCTTGGGATTTGTGGGAGCAGGTAAAGAACACTGATGTGCCTGCTCACACATGGGGGTCATTGGGCCCCCATGGTGCCCTTGGGAGGCAGCAGCTGGACAGTGAGGGACCTGGAGGGCTCTGGCCTCTCTGTGCAGGACACTGCTCTGCGTGTCCTTCCTGGAGGCTTCCTGCGTTACAGCTGCAAGCGCACAGGGAAGAAGGAGCTGGGGAGGACCAGGGCCATCAAGGCTAGCCTTAGAGCGCTGCTGCCGTGAGCTTGCCCTCTAACCCCCTCTCTCTTCTGTCTTTAAAGCTTCCTTCGGAGTCCGAAGGCTGATAGGAGTCACTGAGATAGAAAAAGGCTCCAGCTACGGCAATCAAGAATTTCAGAAAAAGGAATAATCAGCGCTGTGACTGAACACCCGTAACCTGACGTGGTATCCAATTAACTCAATTAAAAACAGAACACAAGAGAGGGGGACAACACTTAGAGACTATTTTTCTTATTAACTGGTGACTAATATTAACAAAACTTGAGCCAAGAGCAAAGAATGCAGAAGGCCTGCCAGGTGAAGATGGTCAGCCAACACCATCAGGGTCCCATCGGCCCTCTTCGGGTACAGAGGTGGGCTCTGGGGAGGTGGTGGGGCCATGGGTCTCCCCCAGAACTCCGCCTCCAAGAGGCAGCCGTGGCTGCTTTCTCTTCTTAAACTTAGAATGAGGCTGTTGTTTCTTATCACTTATTTGGGGAACTTAATCTGGCCCCCACCTTATGACCTGCACCCCAGGACACTGGCTCTTGATGTGTTCAGCTGTTCTGGGAGCAGGTCAGCTGGGTCCTTGTCCCACGAAGAGCTCGCTTGTCCTGCCTGGCTTGCCACCCTCACTTCTAGTCTGCGGGGAGAAAGTCTTCTGATAAGCACACACTGAATGTAGATCAGGCCCCTTTGTCCCTCCCCTGTCCCCTCTGCAGCACCTCTCTCAGCACTGCCTCCCTGTGGGCTGTGTTTAAGCACCTTAAGTCTCTTTTTAAAGTGAATGCCCGAGAACTCTGCAGAATGTGGACTCTTTCTGTGCGTACAACGCCTCCATACAGCTCCTTGGTCCCTTTCTTCCTCTGTGGCCAGCAGGCTACAGTCCCCACATAGGGCCAGATGGGAAGGCCAGGTCGGCCCCACACCTCAGAGCCTCGGTGCCTGGGGGCTTCCAGCCTTTGGGACTTCAGGAAGCCAGATCAGCATCAGCTCTCCCTGGTCTGAATCATCAGATAAACTTTAGCACTTGTTAGCATTTGGAATTTATTTTTGCAAGTTGGTCTGTGGCTGGCTTGCAACTTCTCCCTGCCCTCTGCCTCCTCTGCCTCTATCCAGGTGGACATCATCGCTGCCCACACTTGCCCTCTCCCACCTCAGTGACATTGACTGTCTTGGCAGAGGACAGGGGGCTCCACCTGCACTTGGTGCCTTGCCAGGGTCCCTTTGGCTGACCCAGGAGGTGCATCTTCCTTCAACCCACTTAAGTATGGGGAGGCCTGCCCGACTCCTGGGAGGCCCAGGCCCTTGGGGAGTTCCGTCATACCCTGTCTGTCCACCTCCCTTGACTTTCTGTCTGAACCCTCTTCAGGCTCTTTTAAAGTCACAGCTTTCTTCATGTTTTCTAACAAGAAACACTGTTACCAGTGTTCAGAGTAGAGGCAGAGAAGCTTTCTAGGGGAGACCAACAGAAAGAGGCCTGGAGAAGTGGAGACCAGGCCTAGGCCTGACTCTGCTTGGCTCCCAGTGTTGGGGGGACTCCAGGAGGCAGCTTGTAGGAGATGCTACTGACCTCCAGGGTCCATGTATGAGGGAGTTTGGATGTGGATCGCATCCACAACTTTTGGGTGAAGACAGCCAATGTAATTCCTTGTGAGGGTGAAGGGTTGGATCAAGCCAAGCAAATCAGGACACTAAACTCTCTCTCCTCTAGCGCAAGGCTTGCCTGCTCTGGCCTCTGCCAACTGTGTGCCATCCTGGGCGTTCCCAAGCGCCATCCTCTGGCATTTCCTTTCTGTCTCTGTCAGTCACCCTCCCTCAATCCCCATCACCTCGCAAATCTGAAGGAAATGGGCTGAAGGGCCCCGCTATGCATGCGCCTGGCCCAGGGAACAAGCTCAGAGCCTTTGCCATTTTAATAGTGGCTCTGGCTTCCCAGAGAAGCACTGAGCCTTTGAGGTCAGCCGTGTGCTGAGTCCATGAATGACCTGGAAGAATGCAGGTCGCAGGCTCTGCCCTTCTGTGCCTCCCTCTGACTTCTCAGCTCTGCCTGTGCATCCAATACAGTGCTTCTGAGAGCAATAAAAACTACCCTGGGAATGTGGTTTTGGGGTTTTTTTTGTTTTGTTTTTTTTTTTTTTGAGGGGTCAGATTTTGCTCTTCATCTGCTTCAAAAGGAAAGAGACAGGAGAGCCCCTTTGATTTTTCAATTAAATTAATAAATCTCAGAAAAATGCTTTTCTCTTTTTCCTTCACACCCTACTACTAACAGGAGTCCTGGCTGATGTCATGTCCAGATTTAGACTGAGGGTTTCCCCAAAACAGCTTGCTAGCCCTCAGGCAGCCTATTAGCCCAGGGGTATTCTGGGGCTGGCATGGGTACTGGCCTTAGGCTGAGGGCGTGGCTGGCCTAGTCATACTGGAGATTCCTCAGCAGAAAGGGCCCCATAGGCCCAGGTCAGCCTGAGACATCTCCTTACCACTCAGGCTCCTGCTGTCTCCCTGGGAGCTCCACTGTTCTCCCACCTGTTCCTGGCCACACCCACATACCTCACACAGGCATTTCTGAGCCTGTACTGAATGAGGGCTGGGGATGCCCATCTGGCTGCCTGTGGATTTCATGGTACTGCAGAGAGCATCTAGGGCTGCTGCTGTTCACTCTGGGGGCTTTGAGTCAGCATTGTGATCAGCGACTGTCCCGCAGGAGGTGGGACAGAGACTAGAAAGAGGAGTGGGCAGAGTGAAGGCAGTTCAGAAATCAGACACAATATCCTCTTTTTCTCCAAACTGAGGCCTTGACAGGATCTGCCCATTTACAAGAACTTGAACTGAGAGAAAGATGCCACCTGCTGGTTACAGGTACTTGGTGATGGACATCCTGAAGGCTCAGGCCCATTTGAGATGCTGGGAGCCTTGTCCCCAGGAAACAGGGTCTGATTGAAGAGATGAGCTCTGGATGTACACACCACTACTAACAACGCCATGTGGACAGCACTGTCTTATAAAAAACGATGCAGTCTTCCTCAGAGCTGCGGGACTCACCTCCCTCTGTGTACCATGGCCAGAGACTTTCCCACTACTGATGTAGTCAAGGTGTTGCCCCGCATTCATGTTGACCTGAAAAAAATCAGGGTGGGATCCAGCTGTGAGCTACCCACGTACAAGTCAAGAGATGCGACGAGGCCATCCCTGCCCACTATGACTACTAGTTTGTGTCAGATTCTGGGGTGAAGGGTGAGTGGCTCTTCCTGCATGTTGCCCTGAGACCTTATAGAACAAGCCAGATACAACCTCCGCAGCCTTGCTGACTCACCTCAGTTGTTCGTCCCACACGTAAACCCATCGACTAGCTAGCTGCATGCCATGCTTCCTGCTCGAGGTGTGGTGCTTCTGTGGCTTCCTCGGCTAGAGCAGTGCACCCGAGATGCCTGCCGCCTTCTCTCTGCAAATACACATCCCTGGCCTGTAGGCCAGCCCCAAACCAAAGGCACCTCGACCTGGGTGGGGGTACCCCTGACCTGCCTCAGGCCTCCTCCCAGAGTCCTATGTGGGGCTGTCAGATGGGTGCTGACACTTAGCCCTAGAACCCTGCATACAGGGGCCAGGATTTGAAACACAAGGTCAGGCTTTGGGTAAAATGTCACACAGTGACCTTCTTGAGTGGCAAGGTGGACACATGAATTAAAGGTTATTACAAGCATCTAAAATTTGTTAATTCAGGGGAATGGTGTTCTTAGAAGCCACACAACCCACAAGAGCACTTTGAAGAGTCACTGGAGAGGTGACATTGTCTCTTCACAGATGACAGACTTGTGAAACTGTAATCTTTGTACTGACAGGTCACCTGGAGTTTTCTTTTCTCCTTAACGTTTTGGGTTTCTTAGCTTTTTGTTGCAAAAGTGTTGGACAGAAGTGAACTGTGAACGAGGCCCTGAAATGCACTAACTTTATTCAATTAAACTGGAGTTACTTGATTTGGTGAAGAGCTGCGTTTGCTCCACTTGTGTCTCTTGTTAGAATGGTACATTGTGACAATCAAATGGAGTCCGCCTCAAGGTGGGGCACCTCCCCAGCTTCTGTACAAAGCACCAGCAAGTCCTGTAACTGTGCAGGAACAGCTCTTTCTGCAAGCCACACAAACCACGGACTCCCAGGGAGTGCGTCACGGCTGGGCAGACATCGGGGCTTCTTTTTCTCTTACTGAAAAATTGCCATACCTGACTGTCGCCAGGCTCAAAGGGATGCGTTGACTAGAGGGTACAACTGTATCATACGGGTGTTTCCTTTTGTATGCTTCTTTTTACAAGTTTTGCTACTCACATGCTCTGTGGTAGGAATGACGGCCGGTGTCCAGGTAGGGAGCTAACTTGGACTTTCCAGGCCTGTATCCACGGCCTGGCTGCGTTGACTGCTATGCAAAGCTCTCTGTCCACAGCATTTGGAAAGGCTACTCGAGCAGCATGGCGCTCCTGCTTGGTGGTACTTTCTGGGACAAATGTGCAGGCATCATACTTATTACAAGCACTGTTTTGAATGAGGGATAAAATGTCCACAATACACAAGAAAGTGACTGTCTCCTTTTCTTTCTTTCCGGTCTGCATGGACTTTTCCAAGAGGAAATAGCCTTCGGGCACTTCCTGTCCCTTGGGGCCACCCTCCCCCACCCCTTTGAACTCTTTCTCTGAGACCCTTCATCCAGCAGCCCATCTCTCTCCACTCCAGGACAGATGGAGATGGCAGTAGAGTGGGGAACTGAGCCCGTGAGCGTGCTGTGGGATCCATGCCCACAACTGAGCTTTGGAAGCCATCTCAGGCGGATATCTCTGAAAATGGGCCTGCCCTGATCATGAACTGCTTTTGTAAAACCTTCATTCTCTGGAGATCATGAAAGAGGCCCTTCATTAAAAGACAGAACAGCGGGGCTGTAGCTCAGTTGGAGTGCTTGCCCATGCGCAAAGCCCAGGCCCCCAACCTCAGCACCATATGAACTAAGCCTAGTGCCACACGCTGTCATCCTAACAGGAAACCGAGGCAGGGGTGGGGAGGGGGTTCAGGTGTGCAAGGCCAATCTAAGTTATAGAAGATCCCATCTTAAAAAAACAGAGAAAGGAGAGAGGGGGAGAGAGAGAGAGTCTTGTTATAATAGACCCAAGAGATGTTCCAGTTCTCAGTTGTGTGTCTTCCAAAAATAAACTGCACTAAAAGAATTGTGATGCCCTGCTCTCTGGAACAGCCCACAGGACAGACGTGTGGGGTCGCTTCCTTCCACGGTGGAATTGAAACAACGACACCAGCCCAGCCCACCAGCCCAGCCTCCACTGGGAGTTCCACATATACGTACATACCCACAAGCACATACCAATGCATTTGTACACTTGCATGCATCCACACACATCCAGCACATGCAACTACACAGGTATGTATATACATGAACACATCCCAAAACAGGAGGGCATGTTTTGTTCCCTAAGAACAACCCAATTAAGAAACAGGCTTTGGGGACTGACCTATTCATGCTCCTTGCACTAAAAGGGTTTGTAGAGAGAACAGATCCTTTGAGATGTGTTCTTCCAGTCAAAGGACCCAAGAGGAAACCCAGCCATCCCAGGACGTGACTAAGGCAGCCGTGAGGTTGCTCAGCCGTGGCTCTTCTGTTAGGAAAGAGCTTTTCTCTGCCCAAGGTGGCCCCTGGGCCAAGCAAGTCACACACACATACACACACACACACACACGCACGCACGCACGCACGCACGCACGCACACACGCCTGTACTCAAGGCTTCTCCTCAGCATCTCCCGAGCCATCTATTCAGAATCAGAAAGGCTTCTGAAATGTGATTTCTGCACAGACTTTTAAAATGGTCACTTCCTCCTAATAGATTCCAATAGTGGCTGTAATTCAATGATCAGATCCACCTGGCCAGGACTCACTGCGCCAGCCGAGGCTGCTGAATATGCCCTCTGCCCTATACAAATGGGACTATGTCCTGATGGGTTCTGTCCTAGTTTGATTACTGTTGCTGTGGTAAAATGCCAATCAAAACCAAATTGAGGGAAGAAAGGGCTTGTCTGGCTCACAGGATACAGTCTATCATTGGGTGCCGAGGCAGGAGCTCACGCAGGAACCCCAGTGTAATGTTGCTTACTGGCTTGCCTTCCTGGGGTTCACTCTCAGCCTGTTCTCATATACATCCCAGACTCTCCTACCCCAGGTCTGGGCTGGGCCCTCCTATATCAATTAGCAATTAAAATGCCCCACTGGCCAGTCTGATAAAGGAAATTCCTCAACTGAAGTTTCTCTTCCCTGGGTGTCAGGCTGACAGCTGAAGCTGAGCATGTCAGGCTCCCATTGCTAGAGCCCAGCTGGAAGACAGGGTTACGGGCACGCAGTGGTGTGGCCTTGTGGAGCACACGGCCACTGCAGCAGGGGTGAGAGGCCAGGCACTCGGGGTAGGCACCTTCACTGAGAAAATGGAAAGGTCCCTCTAGGGGGTCCTGTGAGGGTAGGTGCTACACTCATAAGTTTACCACCCACAGCAGACTGGTGGTATTGCCCATCTTGAAACTGAAGGGACACATGGGTAAATCCTCCAGCTCAATCTTTCCAATCACTTTCCTTTCCCTGGCATTAGAAATCACCAACTTTGAGGGACTGGAGAGATGGCTCACCAGTTAAGAGCACTGGCTGCTCCTGCAGAGGACACAGGTTCAATTTCCAACACCCATATGAGAGCTAACGACCATCTGTAACTCCAGTTCCAGGGGATCTGACACCCTCTTTTGACATCTGAGGGCATTGCATGACAGGTACACTTATATACCTGTAGGCAATATTTCATATACACAGAAAGTATTGTAAAAAAGAAACCACCAACTTTGGGGCTGATGAGCTGGCTCAGGAGATGAAAGTCTTCGCTACCAAGCCTGACAACTTGAGTTTGATCCCCAGGCCCATGCTGGAAAGAGAGAATGGACTCACACAAGTTGTCCTCTGACCTACACACATGCACATATGTGCACACACAAACACACTACAGATAAAGGTAAAACATTTTAAGGAATCACCAATGTTGGCAGTCTCACAGCTGTTCTGTCATTAGTCTAGCAGCTCTGCTCCAGGTGACAGCGCTATGTGGGGGTCACGGAAGCCCCTGCCAGGGCTGCTTTGCAGCCATTGCTGCGACCACCAACCCTTCACTTGGACCCAACAGGTATCAGATGGGGACTGCTGTCAGATTGCTAAAAACACCCCTCGGGTCTCAGTGACACAGCCACATTCTGCGCATGTGCCCTGTGGAGAGCCACAAGGACTGACAGTTCGCCCTTAGAACACAAGTGCGTTCCCCACTGGCCTCCTGTCCCACCCTGACCTCCTGCTTCCTTACCCCCACCCCATCAATCCCCTGCACACTAGCTCAAGGAGGTGGATCTGAGACAGGCTTCCCATCTTCTGCTTGGCTGTCTCTCAGATAAACTTTCTCTTTTGCAAAACTCACCAGCTACCACAATTGGCACAATTTGGTGGTGAAACTGGCATGACTCGGGGGCACTTTGGTGGCCCAAAGCGGGGCATTAGTGGCTTTGACTTGCCCTCCCTTGATCAGTGTCCAGGCCAAGTGGTGGGCTTGCTCTGGAGCTCTCTTTCTGCGCCATTCACAACTTCCACTGCCCTGTGCTTCTCGCCTCCTCTGACTGGCTCGTTCGCACTCTGGAACTTGTGTGCACCAATTCTGGGCCTATAGTATGCTCATAAAAACCCACTTCTAGCCTGATTTTCCTCTTTATTTATCTTTGGATATACAGACCTCGTTTTCATTTTAACAGAATTGACTGTATTCTTCCGTTTTGTTTTTTTTAAACTATTTTTTATGGGGCTGCAGAGATGGCTCAGTGGTTAAGAGCAATGACTGCTCTTGTAGAGGACCTGGGTTCAATTCCTGGCACCCACACGGGTGCACTTACATACATGCAGGCAATACGCTCATACACATAAGATAAAATAATAAATAAAATATTTTATCTGTTATTGTATGGGAGGCACGTGTGTGCCATAACACGTGTGGAGGAAGTCTGAGGATGGCTTTTGGCACTCCTTCTCTCCTTCCACTTTGTTGAATCAGGCTCTCTCCTGTGTTTCCGCTGCTCTGCCCATTCCAGGCTGGGTGACCTGCGAGCTTCCAGAGTGCCAGAATTACAGATTCAGGCCACTGCATCTGACTGCTCATGGATTCTGGGGATGGGGGTCCAACTCAGGTAGTCAGACTTGCTTAGCATCACTTTTACCTGCTAAGTCAAATTTACAGACTGTTTTTACTTTTTTCTTCTTTTTTTAAAAAATATTTATTATTTTTATTTTATGTGTATGAGTGTATTGCCTGCCTGTATGTGAGTGCACCTGTGTCATGTAATGCCACGGAGGTCAGAAGAGGGCTTCGGATTCCCCTGGAGCTGGAGTTAAGGACGGTTCATAGCTGCCATGTGGATGCTGGGAATCGAACCCGGGTCCTCTGCAAGAGCAGTCAGTGCTTTTAACTGCTGAGCCATCTCTCCAGCCCCACTCTTTCTTTTTTTTAATTTCTGTGCTGGGAATGAAACCCGGGGCCTTCTGTAGGCTAAGCTGGCACTGTGCCACTGAGCCATGCCCCCAACCCCTAACTGGTAGATTCTAGGCCTGTGCTCTACTGCTGAGTCACCCTCCAGCCCTCTTCCTTTACAGTTATGTTTGGCTGGGGATTAATTAGGCCTTGCTAAGAAAACCTTTCCTTGCTCGAGATCATAAAATTTTTCCTATGTTTTCTTTTCTGTGTGGATGCATGTGTGCATGTGTGTGGATGCATGTGTGCATGTGTGTGGATGCCAGAGATTGGCACTGCCCCTCTTCCTCCATCACTGTTACCCAGCCATATCATTTTGTAAAGTGTCTCCATTTTAGTTGAACAATGACAATTCCTCAAACTAGAGTAAATTCTAGAACCAAAGTCTTGTGTTTCTAGATTCTTGCCCTCTGTGTCCAGCCTGACTACAAGCAGATACTGTGGACTGCTTATCAATCAAGTACAAGTAGCACTGAACCTCCCCTTCCTCAGAAACCTATAAGGGGCCCCCACTCCGTCATGGGAGCCTGAACTCTCCTCAGAGCCCAGCCATGCTGTCTGACAATGGCGTTAATAACCCTTCTAATAAATCTCTTACCCCAAAGGCCAGCCTGCCTCAGTGTCCTGAAATGTGAAACCTTTCCATTTCCACCTTTTTTAAATTATTTTTTTGCCATAATAACCTTTTATTTTATATAAAAGTTCAACTGCAATAATAATCAGGAAAGTTAAATCCAGTAAGTATGAGGACTATAAATTGTTTTCAAATTTACAACAATGAATCCTACCTTGTTTATAAAGCTACTCAAATATAAGAAAACGATTTCAATTTCTACAGTATCAAAAGGATAAGGGCAAAATGCCTTTCTATCTCAAATCAGGCTTTGGATGACAGTTTTCAACATAATAAAGCCATACAAAAAAAAAAGGCAAAAACCAAATCACTTTCCTTTAGTCCAGACGTACTTTGA